GCCGACGACGGAAAGTTACACCCTATCGCGTACTTCTCTAAGAAAATGTTACTTGCAGAGCAAAACTACGATATTTACTAGAAAGAGCTTCTGGCAATAGTAGAGGCACTCAAGCATTAGAGGGTATACTTCTAAGGGGCTAAGTTCCTAGTTACTATCCACACCGACTATATGAATCTTCGGGCTTTTACAACCACTAAAGTCCTTAATAATCGAAGGTTAGTGCGATAGTCTAAGGAACTTACTAGCTTTGATTTAAGGATCAAGCATGTGCTAGGCACACAGAACCCGAAGGCCGACGCCCTTAGCAGAAAACCCGGATACAAGAACGATAAAGTGTACGATAAGTAACCTTTGCTTCGTACACTTAACAATAGGGACTTAGCGCCAACAATCAGAGAGATAGCTTCTCTAGGGCGCTTGGACGGGACTCCACTAGAAACCCGTATTAAGGAAGCCTATACTACGGACCCAATGGCAGATTCCGTTTCATAGCACTTTAGGAAGACGCCTAGAGGGCTGCTCACACATAACGGGAGAATCTACCTTCCCTTAAGCGTTAGAGAAGAGATTATAAGAGAACAATACAAATTGCCGGCTTATAGCCATTAGGGGGAACGGAGAACCTTCTCTAGACTCTCGAGGGAATACTAGTGTCCGTCGATAAGAGCTATTATTAAAAGGGTTATTAAGGGCTACAATACTTGTACTAGGAACAAGGCGAGCCGCCTTACGCCATACGAACTTATGGGAATAGTCCCTATACTAGACACTCCTTAGAAATCAATATTATGGGACTTTATTACGAAACTCCTACTATCCAAAGATCTAGTGTCAGGAGTTAGCTACGACTCGATTTTAGTCATTATAGAAAGGCTTACGAAGTATATAATATTAGTACCCTATAAAGAAGCTAGCACGGCTAAACAACTCGCCTATACCTTCCTTAGGGAAGTAGTCAGCAAGCATAGCCTACCGGAAGAGATACTCTCGGATCGAGACAAGCTCTTTACCTCTAAATTTTAGACCGCCCTTATAGCCGCTCTAAGAACTAAGAGGAAGATAACTATAGCATTCTATCTATAGACTAATGGAAGGAATAAGAGGATAAACTAGGTAGTCGAAGCATACTTAAGATACTATGTCAACTACTAACAGGACAACTAGGTAGCACTATTGCCGCTTGCCTAGTTCGCATACAATAGTTCAACTACAGAAACCACGAAGGTAACACTTTTCTATACCAACTTTAGTTATGAACTTATGGCATACAAGGAGCTAGGGATTACGGCTATCGACAATAACCTAGCTAGAGTCCGAGTCTCTAAGATCAAAGAACTACACATATAGCTAGCCTCTAAGCTATAGTTTGTTTCTAAGCGCACTACACACTACTACAACAAGCGGCGTAGCTAGGAGCCTACACTAAAAGAGGGGGATAGGGTATATCTGATCAAAAAAAACATTAAAACTAAGAGACTAAGCGACAAACTCGACTATAAGAAGCTTGGACTATATAGGATCAAGAAAGTAAAGGGACCTGTTAATTACGAATTGTAGCTACTTAAGAATATAAAGATATATCCAACATTCTATATATCGCTTCTTGAGCTCGCGCCACCGGGAGCGCCGCTGGCGCCCCAAGTTGAGATCGACCCGGTCAACCCAAACGCTAAGTATAAAGTGGAGCAAGTACTAGATTGCAAATACATTAGAAGGAAGATCAAGTACTTAGTTAAGTGGGAAGGATACCCACAGTTAGAAAACACTTGGGAGCCGGAGTCGAACCTTAACTGCCCTGAGATCCTGGCTAACTTTCACTACCGGTATCCTGGACTTCCCAGACGGGAGTAGCGGAGGAGGTATTAGGACCAGGAAGAAAGGACTCTTCTAGGGCATTCTAGTCGATACTAGGATCCTAGCCAATTGGAGACGAGACTGCGGGCCGTTCCCGCAGATCCCTCTCCAACCGCTCTTTATCCAACCGTTCCTTTTCTTCGGCAGCATCTAGCTCATCTAGAGACTCGAGGCTATAGCGGAGCATCTCGGTCTCTCGTTTCCTCAGAAACTTACGTTGCCGTTGGATGCGCTCGACACACGCGGCGATCTCTTGCTATTTCGCAAGAGCCTCGTCCAACTCTCGTTCTAGTTTTTCCTTATTGTTGTCTAGAGAAGACTAGTCTTGCGGCATGGGACCTCCTATATCGCATCGTGAGAAGCCTCGACGAACGCACTCAGCGCATCTCGAGATACCCTCTCGAGCCTAGCACCTTTTGCTAGCTCGTTCGCAGGCTAAGCAAGAGATTATTTCGGTACTCGCGTTAAGGATTCGTTAGGCGTGGCGTTTTCTCTCTTTGTCTTTAACTAAGGTTTCCTTAAAAGGGCGTGGCATAATGGAAAGGAAGGAGGGCCTTGCCTCGCCATAAGATAATCCATTGCCCTAGTTATGCGCACGGGACTGCGCTAGGAGGAATAGGGGATAGTGTTATAATCACGGGGCTTGTAGGCCATAGGCCTAGCAGGTGAGGGATCGAAATAGGTTAGCGGGTCACCTAATGGATCATTAATCCTCATTAAGGGTTAATAAGGCTTATTGATCTGGAGAATAGAGGTTCTATATAACAACGGGCTGTCGCCCACTAGGTAGGAGCCTCGTGCTCAACTTGATTAAGTTTTCCTAACTATAATATCATTGCCTTATC